CCCAAACCATTCCATGAATCCACGATCCTGTGACATGGTTTTCACCGTGCCACTGACTCCACACATCCAGCTGACAGAAAAAGAGGAGTAATTCCAGTGGGAAGCAGGGGTTTTGCCTTTCCTGGCTGTCACTGGGCAGCCGTGCTGAGTAGGAGTGTTTGTTTGCTTTGGAGTAGCAGCGGTTGCGAAATGTTTTGAAACCTTATGAGAGGAAATAAAAGCGGCGTGTTGTGAAACAGCCTAATCCTGGCCAGAGCAGAGCTGCTCAGGGAGTCTGGAGCAGAGTTTAAAGGAAGTTTTGCATAATCCTGTATCATTCTGAGTCTGCCTGTTGGATTCTTTGTCGTGGCAGAAAGTATAAATTGTGTTTGTGCTGGTTTGTGCAGTGCTGTGCTGATTTATTCATGGTTTTTGGAGGTTTGGCCTTTCAAGGATCTGATCCTTATCTTTGTGTTGTGTTCTCTCCAGTGGCTTTCACTGAAAGGAGTTACAAAGCCCCATCCCTGGAAGTTTTCAAGGTCAGGAGCAACCTGGTCTGGTGGAAGGTGTCCCTGTTTTGTTTTGGACAAGATGGTCTTTAAGGTCCATCTTTCCAACTCAAACCCTTCTGAGGTTCCATGATTAATTTTCCTCAGGTTGTTTTCAACTTGTGTAGGTGGGATAATGTCCCTTTAGTTATTTACACACAAGGAAAGGGTGGAAATAAGGGTGCAGTTGGGAGATGTGCTGAGAACATCAGCCATGGAGGTACCTGTGTTCTTGCCAAACAAATCCCAAAATTGAGATTTCCACCAGAAAACAAGTAATTGTCCTGTGATAGTGCTTTATTAGGAAAGATTATTGAGGGGGATTTTTGTCTTCTCTCTCTACTTTTCTTCTTTACTGCTGTTATTCCCCCTCTCCAGGGCCTTCCAGTTATTTTGCCCTGTAATATCAGAGATAAGTGCTGAAGAAGAAACCAGAACAAAGGAGTTTTTTTCTTGTCCCTGAGCTGCAGTTTTCCTTATCCTGAATTACATTCAGAATGTCTATTTTCCTGTGGAGCAGAAGCACCATCCTGCAGTTCCCATTACAGAGGAATATTATGAACCCAACAAGAAGTTGATTAGGCTTTTTTTTTTTGCTCTTTAGTGTTGTGGGAGATGATCTTTTGGGAGAGATAAACTTCAGATCAGAAGTTTTAAATTTGGGAATGAAACAGGCACCTCTTCCAGGAATTGATTTTGCATTTTAATCCCATATCCTTGAGATTTGAAAGGGGGGGAGGGTTGGAAACTTCCCTTCCCCTCAAGGAAATGTTTATTGAGCAAAGGTGCCGGAGTTGTTTTGCCAAAACATGGGATCAGGTTGCAGCGATTTTATGGCCTGTTGGTAAAATGAAGGATATCTTTGTGTCCACAACAAGGCTGGTTGTGCAGTTTGCAGGGTGACCACGCCATAGTTAACACTTCATCTGGGATTTTTTGGGTGCAAACAGCCCGAAATCTGTAGCAAAAAGGATCACTGGGTGTCTGGGCTGTTCACTGAGCACAACACTGTTTAATTCAGGTCACCAAAAAGTGCTTTCCAGGCAGAATGAGCGGATACTGGGAATAATTGGGTGCTTTCCTTGGGTAGAGAAACTCATTTACAGTTCCTGGGGAACTGCCTTCCACCACATTTGCTCTCTATTTTGAATAGATGTGAAAAGAGGAGAAGTGAGTCCTTTTCAAGGGGGAAAAATTCTTTTCATTGTTGCTTTTTGGTGGGTGGTGGCCTTGGATACTCAGAAGTCCAGAGCACAGGACCAGGCTTGGCTGCTTTCCTGGG